CTTAAATGGATTTAAACTTTTGACTACATTTTGACTGTCTCGTTATCAAGGATACTCTCTGGATATTAAGGTCAGCTGATTAATTAACAGAATTAATACAACCTTAATTCCCCCTTGCCATGATACATAGCACATTCACAGGTTCTAGGAATTATAAAGAAGGGCATTATCTTCTACTACGATATTTAAACTTCTTTAATCCTCAGTAACCTCGTTTAAACAGATGAGGAAACTGAACACAGAGAGTTGACATGAATTGCCCCAAATCACACAGCTAGTAATGCAGGTATCTTACCCCCAGAGAATGCATTCTTCACCTGTACTCTGCATTGTGCTGAAAAAGGAGTTTTAGGTTAGACGACCATGTGTGGACAGAAGTAATTACAGCAGCTTCCCCAGAAGGTTTGGGCCTAGAAGAATAAATGTATATTCCATTTGTCCATTCATCCATCCAAAACTTTTGAGTATCTAATACCCATCAAGCTAAGTGCTAGAGAATCAAAATAAAGTTAGACATGGCTCCTGACTTTTAGATTTTGCAGTTACCTACAAGAATTGTCAGAGCAATGAACAATAATTACACAGTAGGAGATAAATCCTATTGTAGAAGTCTCTCCAAGATGATAAGACATATATGTGGAAGGGAGAGACTAACTCTACCTAACTATAAGATATGGGTTTAATTTTTCCCAACTACTTTTCCAGACATATTTTTCAGTATTTGGTTTTTACAACTCAGCCCAAGTACTCTTGTCTCAGTTTCACAAAGAAGGATTGTTATTTCTGCTTTTGCTCTTGTCATTTCCCAGTCCTGGCAGGCCTTCTCTCTACTTTTAGTTGTTGAATTCTACTCATCATTCAAGACTGGGCTTTTTGTGCCTATAATATCTGTCTTCCTGCATGGATGGGTTTGCCCCATTCAGAGAAGGTTCATGTTCCCTGTACTTAAAGGTACCTGGCACTTACCGGCTCTTAGTGATTGTTGAATTAATATATGAGTGAACACAAGACCACCTCAGATCCCACTGAGATCTCATTTTCCTCCTAATTCATGGAGGACTCCTTTGGCTTCCTGTCTCACTTGGTTTATCAGTTTTGTAAGCGTTTCTGTTTCATCCCACGCTCTACTTCTCGACCTTCTTTGCGGAGACAGAGATCACATCTTCTGAGTCGTGCTCTGCGGCACTCAAATAACTGCTGATTTTAAAATGATTGACTCTAGGCTCACTGAATAGCATCCTACTTACAGGTGACCTTGGCTGAACCTCATCTCTCAAGATCCTGAGATGAAGTAAAATTCATTTGACACAAAACACATGTTGATAGGGCCGTCACCAGCAATGGAGCGGGTTGTTCGCAGTATGTAGGCGCCTGGCTCTTGGAGAAAAGGGTATTGAGATCAGTCCATGCTCCTTTCTACAAACCGTGAGTGGTGGGGCTGCACTGCACATAGGAAGTCATACTTCATTTGAACTTTTACAATCATACCCTCTCTTTGCTAAGATCTGGGCCTTTGGGGATATCCACCTAGGCGTCATGGCTTTTATAAATTTACCCAAAGATTCTGTATGGGTCTCAAAGGTTCTGATTTTTTGATGATTAAAGAGGCCCTTTAGGATACTTCAGAATCCTTATAAAAAGTAACAGCTATCTCTATGCTATGCAGAAATAATTAGAATGTAATTCTTAGAAAACAGGGGCTTCAACTGTTTTGACCAGTGTCACATCATTGGTATGGTGGATATTCAATAAATACTTGTTGAGTTAATGAATAAGATGATGTAACAAAAATAACATTTTTACTGACTTTGGCACAGAAGAACATTATTTTCTGAATCCATCTATTTCTTAATTCACTTTATTCTATAACGTGTATCCCCTTATTTACCATGAGTGAATCATCCTACTTACAGGTGACCTTGGCTGAACCTCATCTCTCAAGATCCTGAGATGAAGTAAAATTCATTTGACACAAAACACATGTTGATAGGGCCATCACCAGCAATGGAGCGGGTTGTTCGCAGTATGTAGGCGCCTGGCTCGTGGAGAAAAGGGTATTGAGATCAGTCCATGCTCCTTTCTACAAACCGTGAGCGGTGGGGCTGCACTGCACATAGGAAGTCATACTTCATTTGAACTTTTACAATCATACCCTCTCTTTGCTAAGATCTGGGCCTTTGGGGATCTCCACCTAGGCGTCATGGCTTTTATAAATTTACCCAAAGATTCTGTATGGGTCTCAAAGGTTCTGAGTTTTTGATGATTAAAGAGGCCCTTTAGGATACTTCAGAATCCTTATAAAAAGTTACAGCTATCTCTATGCTATGCAGAGATAATTAGAATGTAATTCTTAGAAAACAGGGGCTTCAACTGTTTTGACCAGTGTCACATCATTGCTATGGTGGATATTCAATAAATACTTGTTGAGTTAATGAATAAGATGATGTAACAAAAATAACATTTTTATTGACTTTGGCACAGAAGAACATTATTTTCTGAATCCATCTATTTCTTAATTCACTTTATTCTATAACGTGTATCCCCTTATTTACCATGAGTGAAGTTCATTTGCAAACAAGAATAAAAGAGAAATGGGAGAATTCATACAGACAACCAGCATATGAGAAAAAGGATTAAAATAAAGTTTTCAGGATGAGTCTCCTCTTGGAAAAATATATTATATACTGGCTTACCCAAAAGTCAATGTGTTAGAGAATAGAAAAGAACTTTGAAGTGAGTCAAGAGGCATGGATCTCAGCACTGCTTTTTCCTGCACATGTGATATATGAGCTTGGGCACATCACCTGGTCATCTGTGCCTTGGTTTTCTTATTTGTGAATCTGGAGTTTCACCCTCTGACTCTTGTCATCCATCAGTAGGGATGCTGCAAGGGGCAAATGGCATAATGCATATCATTGTTCCTTGCAAGATTAAAAGCCACTTACTGTTCAACAAAACATACCTCTCAATCCATGCCAAGTTCTACATTCTACTGTGAAAGGATCAAAAAGATGATGGAAGGAACTAACCACCCCAGTGGTGTCAGCCTTTCTCACTATTCCATTCTGAGTTTTGTCTACAGGAAACATCTGCATTTGCAAATCTTATAATTAAAAAATTAACTAAGTCTATATTAATTGCATGCTGTTCTACAGATATATTGCTTTCTGTAGTAGATGTTACCAAATGAATTATGTATGATCCCTGGATGATGAGTCTATCAGCACTTTTAAAGAAAGTATGAAATGAGGACTCAGCCAGGAGTTAAGATCTAGTTCTTACTACTTCTTACCAGCAGTGTGATTTTAGGTGAGTTATCTCACCTCCTTGAACCCCCATTTTCTCTTCTAGAAAAGAGAAGTAAATAGTAACTGTCTCACAAGGTTTGTTTGTTTCCCCATAGAGAACATGAGATGAGTAGATAACTAACTTTATAAACCTGAGCGACATACAGATTACTCTATGGTGAGGCTGGTTTTTATTATCCAAGGTCACAAAGCTCATTACAGGGATCCTGGGAAAATCAGCCACTGCTCGACCCTGCTTTTCCTGCGCGACCCCTGTAACCTTGAGCAACCTGGGGAAGAGGTAATTGAACAGCAACTACTAGTTCGGAAGAAACAGAATCAAGATATCGAAGCTATTGACTCTATATTGACTCACCCTTAAGGCAGTAAACAATGCTTTGGTCTCTGACCTTTCCGCATCCTGGGGCAGTCAATAACCTGGCCTCTAGATGCAGCGTCTGCCGCCGATTCTGATTTGGGAGTACTTTAACCTTGAACTGAGCTCCAGGTAACCAAGGCAACAGGAAGTCAGCTTCTGCATCAGAGGAGCTGGAATCCATAAATCAAGTCTCTAATGCAAACACAGTGTGCAGGTAGAGGTTTAAGAGGATAAGTGATCTATGAGAAATTACCTTTGAAAATGAGTGACTGTCCCTTGATAGGCTATGCACAGTTTCAAAGACTTTTTTTAAAAAATTTTATCAATCGAGGTCAACAGATTATGGTAGAATGTTTTCATATAAGTTTAACTTTTTTTATTTCTCTTTGGCTCATCTGTCTTAATTATGAACTGATGTTGGATTCACAAAGTTATTAGCATTAGTTATTTCCTCCTTTAAGAAAGTACTGGCCTCCAGATATGCAAGCCTCAGTACAGTTTGTACTGTGTTGGGGTTTGGGGCTGCTCTGAACACATCTACCAAGTGTGCTGTTCGTGCAGTCTGCTGTCTGAATTTGACAGAGTGATCCTTTCCCAGATCGAAGCCATCATTGCCTTTCCTCATGCCCCAGTATAAGCAGCAGGGCCACACCTCAGTGGTCTAGTCAGGATGGTGCTGAATCTGGGTTTCTTCATGACTGATCTCCAGCCTCAAAAATCTTCCTCCCTTAAAGAGAGCAGCCAGGCTCATGCTGGAAAGAAACTTGCCAAATACCCCACCATTCTGCCATCACCTAGCATTTGTGAGAGCTTGGTTCTGAAATGTTTCACATTCGTCTGGTCCTTTGGGTACCTCTCCATGGAGCATCAGCTGCCAGCTGGAATGAAGGGAAGCCAAGACTTCCAGTGGCCAGCCTGTCCAATGCTGTCTCCCAAGGAGAAGTCACTCATTCCAGTCTCCTGAGACCTCTGCTCCTAGACAGAGTTTGTGAATTGCTAGTACTGTTATATTAGCCTTCGTTTAAAGTTTATCTAATATTTTTGCCCACATATACTACTTCTGGAATTGTTTCCCTAGTGCTTTCAAAACTCAAAAATGTCTGAGAAAACATCAGGATTTTTTTTGTTTGTTTGTTTGTTTTCAAATTCATTGGATGGCAATTAGCAAACACTACTATAATCTAGAAAATCCAAAATTATCTAGGGCTTTCAAGATAGCAAAATAGTGGCCATCTGAATTATAGAGTGTTCCAAGTGTCATTTTATTATTTTTAACATATTCTGTCCTATAAACACTTGAGTAGCAAAGTACACCCAAAAGAGGTATGATCAGATCCGTTTTAATGGCATGATGTGGGTTGTGAATCTCTCTGCTTGAAAAGGGTACAACCAAAATGGCTTAAAATCACTGCATTCCCAAGTGAAAGTTAAATGTCTGCCTGCTAATCCTGTTTATGGCTCAGTCCTTGTGCATGTCATAATTTGAGTAAAGACCTACCTGTCCCACCTGTGTCCACAGGTAAAAAGAGGACAGACAGATCAGGGAGAGGACCTATAATCCAACAGGCCTCTGGCAGCTTAAAGTTCCAGAGGTATGCTGTGCCAAGGATGCTTGCACCCATTTGACGGTAACAGGGCCAGGGTGGCGCAGGGTACCACTGTGGGGGATTCTCCTGACTTAGGCTTTTTGTCCCATTGCTAATTTGTTAGCCATCCCCAGTCAAAGTGCATCAGTCAGTCTACCCTGATAACCATATTCTGATAGACTCCTAGATTCTTTCTAAACTATGTGTATTTTCTCAATGGAAAAACAGTTAAAAATATGTTTGTAGTTTAACAAATATTAACAATAAAGAAGGCTAAAGGGCAGAAGTAAAAACTCCCACACTAATCTTTCCTGTGCTCTCCTTCCTCGGAATAACCACAGTTAACTATTTGGATGTATCTCCTGGCAGAAAATTCTGTTTGCATTTTACATATATTCCCTATGTTTACCTTGCCTATCCCTTGCACACCTGCATATTTTCAAACAGGCATCATCCAGGAATCATTTCCACGATTGTTGCACTTCCTGATTTCTTGATGGTTGTGCCTTGCAGTCTCTGTCATAGAATTTGATGTTTGTGCACCCCCACTGTCAAAACTCTATGAAATCAAAAAGCAAAAATGGTATTGTTATTTACAGCTCCTCAAGTGGAAGCTTCAGAGGTTGGGGTGGGGAGTAGGAGGAAGGTGGTAGAAGGTAAATGAAAATATCAGTATTTCTTCCTTAGGTGGTTACAGATGCAGTTGTGATACAGGGCCTCTGTCTCCTCAGTGTGAAGCATGCTCTCGGTAGGCTGGGTCATGGGCAGATGTTGGAAGGTGGCCAGTGCACCAAGATGACCTCTGAGTTTAGCATCTGGCTACTTGAAAACTTCCAGCTCTGACAATAACAGTTGGATGAGTTTAGTCAGTTATCTCTTAACATCCTAGAAATGTGTTGACCTCTTCTATAAAATTAAGAAAATAGTAATCTCTACACTACATGCTTCACAGGGCTGCTGTTAGGCCCAAGGAAGCAGATCTCACTTGGAGGTAAGTTGACAGTCTGGGAGGGACCAGTGTCACTCAAGTTGGTTGGATGGGAAAAAAGGTCAACAATTGCTATGATATAACTCCATTTCTTGTTGTTGCTATCAGTGGTCTATAGCCTACCATTAAAGAAATTCTGAGCAGATGACCTTTTGACATGGATTCAGATACCTCCAGTCTCTGAACTTATGCCTCAGTGAGCTGGAGAGTGATTTTTATAAAGATTTTTTTTTGCAGCTAGAGATGTAGAAGGTGCCCAGAAATTCTTGGTCATGTCAGGTAGGAGAACTGAGGCTTTGCTGGCTGGTTTTAGTTTGACCTGTGGAGCAAGTTATAATAGTGATAGTAGTTATAATAGCAATAATCATAACAGGAAGCACTTATATAGCATGGACCATGTGTCAGACATTGTTCTAAGCCGTTTATATTGACTGACTTATGGATGCTCCAAAACACCCCTATGAGCGAATGTGGTTCCATCCCATCTGCACAGTTAAGGAAGCTTGAAGTTTGGAGACGTTAAGCAACTTGCTCATGATCACGCAGCCGAAAAGTAAGAGGGCCTGGATTTAAGCCCAGGAAACAATGCTCCAGAATACTTCTTATAATGTGTCATGTAGTAAATTTCCAGGCCCATCCACAGGCACTTTATAGGAGCCTACCGAGGCTTTTCAGCATCATAAAGATGGTACTGTTATGACCAGACACTCAGAGGCCCCCAAGGACAGCTCTCACTTGGTCTAATGACTATTTACACAACAGTCCCCACAGGGCATCTTCTGCCTCCAGAAGACTGACTTCTTGCTTGAATCATCTTCATTCCCCACCCATGACTTAGGAGACACTCTCCTAAGCACTGAGAATGCCTTTCCTTCAACCATGCTGCTCTGGGAAGCCTTTCCCCACTTCTTCCCACACTAACCCCTGCCTCCCAAGCACCTAGAATGAATAACATGCAGACCTGCCCACACTTGTCACCCAGTTTTTCCTTTTCATTTAGTCTTGTCTCCTCAGCTGGATGAGATGAGAAGCCTCACTAGGATGGGGTCCCCTTCTCCCCTCCATGCTGTGTATACCACAACTTCTGTAAAAACAGGCTTCTTGACACATGGAAGGTAAAAGTGTATGTGATGGATAACTCTGTTAGACCTGTGCCCTGACCACTACTTCCAGGTAGCCCACCCAGAATGTTGTCACCACTAACAGCAGCCACAAAACCAAAACCGGTCATGCCTCTAATTCATTTTTTTTTTTTTTTTAACATTCTAAAATGTCATTCTTGCAGCAAAAGATCAGATCATTTGATGATGTGACCTCGGGTCATTTTGAGATTTTATGTTGTCTGTCTTCCTGTTTCTTTCAAGTGACTGTGGGCTTTGGGGTTATTGTTTTTTTAGGGATACCAAGTCCCCACTTAAAAGTGGACCAAACGGCAACGCATAGTAAGAACGAGGGCTCAGCGTCCGCCGTGATGACCAGGAAGAAGCCAGCCGCGGTGGACAGTGTTGCCATCCCACCTGCCCCAGTGTTATCTCTCCTTGCTGCTTCGGCAGCAACGTCGGATGCAGGTGAGCACTGCAGATGCTTTGGATTCGCCCCAGGGAAAGTGGGCATGGCGAAGCCCTCTGGGAATGTGCTACTGAATACAGGTAAGAGTTCTGTGCTCAGCCAACCTCCCATAGACACTGGGCACGGGCGCTGTTTCAGCACTGGATTTTTCAAGTGGGACAAGGTCTAAGAAAGGAAGGAGATCATCTCAGAACCTGGAAGCAGAGGTCAGTGAGTAATAGTAACAGTATTAATCATTGAAGCCTTCGTAATTACTAGTCTCGGCATGAAGGACCTTGTATGTGTCATCTCATGTAACTCATAAAAGAGCTCTCTGAAACAAATCTGTGCATCTTCATTCCACAAGAGGAAGCTTAGGGTAAGGAAACTTGCCCCTGGAACTTTTAGACAGTCAAGATTCCAACTCAGGTCCAAAACACCTGGTCTCGACCACTGCATTTCACTACTTCCTGTGCTCACCAGGGTTAGGAGACTATAATCAGCGCTTCCCTGAGGCTTGACTTTTTCTGCCTCATGATGTCATGAATTCCTCAAGAGCCACCTGGCTCCTCACTAGTGATTTATAAAATACAAGCTTCTCACTCAGACATCCCTTATGCTCTGCCTTCCATTACTTCACACATCATCTCCTGTATCAACTCCAGTGTGCCAGACTCATCCCTACTGCCAGGAAGGAAGACCTTGTGTTTGGCTTAACACCTTTCTTGAGGACAGCCTTACTTGATTCCTATTCACATCCTTCAGATCTTCAAGGCCCAGCAAGTAAGTCACACTTTCTCTGAATACCAATAGTGTCCAGCATCTCTGTCGTGCATTTGGACTGCATAAGAAATGCTTCTCTTTAACTTTTCTCTCATGGCAGAATTGTGTGTACCTTAGAGATAGAACCCATGATTTAGATTCTTCTGTCTCCATGGCACAGCGAATGATGGCACATTCCATAAAATGTGTTAAATTGATGTACTGGTAAATCTTAGGCATATTGCAGTATTTAGAAATGCCTATTATGATTAGAAGCCCAAGAAGACACTCATTATTGATATTCACGCTAAACCCATCTTTCTCCAGGCAAGAATACTGGAGTGGGTTGCCACACCCTCCTCCAGGGGATATTCCCAACCCAGGGATCGAACCCAGGTCTCCCGCATTGCAGGTGGATTCTTTAACATCTGAGCCAGCAGAAAAGCCCTCTAATTCAGCAGGTTGCTTTAAATAGAGAGTTCAACTTGTCTACATACTCACCTCTTTCTCGGAGACCATTGGTAATCAGAAAAGGAGACCAACTGAAATAACAGAAAGAAGTGTTTGGCATGACTTCCCATGTTGAGTCTCACAAAATATCAGTAGGTGTTTTGTGATAAATGTTTTCAAACTTAGATGTGTGTGAGGAATGCTACTCTGTACCTGCTTCCTTTCTGTAGGGTTTTCCTAAGCCTTTAATTGACCAGTGTGCACTGTGAAGTTCCAGGAGGGTGAGACACAGAATTTCACAATCTTACCTGACCATACAGCTCATTTTTTTCTGGGAATAGTTCTTAACATCTCTTGGAAATGGTACTCTTCCCCACCACTTGGGAAATCTTGCTTTGAAGAAATGGGATCGTTCTCTCCAATATGATCAAGAATATTAGCATCTTTCACATGCTAGGTGTGAAATGAAAGTTTCTGATGGAAATGCCAGGTAAAGGATGCCAGCTATGAGAACAACTCTCCCTCTAGGAGGGAGAATCACAGAGGAAAGGGGAAGAAGCTGCCCCTGAGACTTGCAGCACCTTTGTGAAAGGGCATCCGTGGATAGAGAAGTAGGCACTGCTGCCATGCCTAGGACTCTTGGAATTCATCACTTGGCTGGAGCAAAAGATTTGGGCCAGAGTCTGCATGTGTGTGTGTGCATGCTAAGTCACTTTAGTTGCGTCCCACTCTTTGCAACCCCATGGACTGTAGCCCCCCAGGCTCATCTGTCCATGCGATTCTCCAGGTAAGAATATTGGAGTGGGTTGCCATGCTCCACTCCAGGGGATCTTTCCAACCCAGGGATTGAAACCACGTCTCTTATGTCTCCTGTGTTGGCAGGGGGTTTCTTTACCACTAGTGCCACCTGGGAAGCCCAAAGTATGCATACCCATCCAGATAACTGCTTATTGAACTCCATCAGTTAAGCTCTGGAGACCTCCCTTTATGGATTTAAAAATTAGCCTGTGTGTTTCCACCTTTGCTTGCCAAGAATAGCTATTTCCCAGAGGCAAAAGACAGGTGATCCCCTGTTTTCCTTTCCTGAACTCTTTCCGTGCTGAGTGAGAGAATGCATTTTTGGGATCCCAAGCTTCTACAGGCTTGCCTCCTCTATTTGCATTCAATAATTTACAAATATGCCAAATGGGCATAGAAACAGGTGGATATTAAACTTTTAAACCCGCCTTTCTGGTAATAAGAGCTGAGCCAAAGACCTCCTGTTTCAGGATACAGGAATAGGCTGTTTATTTTTGGCAGTGCTCAAAGGAGAGAATTTCACAGATTTGGTCCATTTCCGGGTCTTAGGCTGCTGAGCAAAACTTTATGGGAAAATAAGCTAAAGATCTACTGCAGGTGCTGGAGACCAGACCTTCCTGAGATTCCACTCCCCACAGACAAATGTCTTCCCACAAATCTAAGAGAATTAGAGTTGCACAACCCGGGATCATGCCCAATGCCCCGTTTCACACGTGAAGACATTGATGCTTCCAAAACTCAGAAATTTGCCTGAGGTCATGCATTTGGATTAGAATTCAAATTTCTTGATTTATTGCCTGATTTACAGTGGAATCTCATTTCTGTCTTAGGCCCAACAATAGCAAAGGCAGATTTCTTTCTCCCTAATTATGGACTCCTAGTTTTTTTTTAGAGAACAGTGAGTGAAACTCATAATTGGGTGCTTTAACCAAAGTCAAGCATACAGAAGACAGTTAATAAATAGTTTCTGGGTTTGGTTTCATTCAGTTGCGTGCTTGTACACTAATCATGCATATTTCCGATGAGAAAACTCACTTTATTGTTTTCTTTAGAGTACCATCTTTCATTATAAATCAGGTAATTTAGAAGTTACTTCTGGCTGTATACAGAAATCAACTTATTTTCCAATAGGTCATCATTTCTATGGAATGATTTTGAAGACCCAGACAAGGGCAGAGAAGGAAAAGGAAAGAAGAGTAAAATAAGTTGCTTATAAAGCAAAGTTAATTGAAGAAATCATTTATTGAGGTTTTTTTTTTTTGGCCCCATGGCATGCGGTATCTTAGTTTCCTGACCAGAGATGGAATCCATCCCCCCTGCAGAGGAAGTACAGATTCCTAAACCACTGGAATGCCAAGGAATTCCCTATTGAGATTTTTAAAATGCTAAAATGATTCAATTAACTTGAAATTCCATTTACTTTAAGGTATCTAGTACAGTCCCTGACACATAGTAGGTGCTGAATAATCACTGAGTGAAATGAATGATTACGAGGCAATAGCTCTATACGTATTCAATACCAAACAAGATGGGAGACATCTGAGAAAAACATGCTTGATATTGGAACTGCTTAAAAAGCAAATGGAAAACATTTGACAGACATGTGGTAGGTTGTTGGTAAATACTTGCCAAATAATTTATGAGTCTATAGTCCTAATGGTATTTTTTTTAGACAGGGGAAAGAAAAAAAGGACCGTTTCCCACTTCATTTTATAAACATGAAATGGAAGAAATGAATGTAGGTCAGAGGCTTAAAAATATGTCTTTTCTAGCTGGTGTGTGTGTGTATGTATGTATTTTTATTTGTTTCAAGGAATTTTTTTTTAGCTTCTCCGAGTCTGGTAGTCATGCTGCTTATGAAGTTATTGATCTGGAGGAGGAGGCAGAAGAGCTGGAAGAGACGGTGGCCAGACTGAGAACCAGTCGGTCTGTGAACTTCTGGGAGGGAGGGAAAGCAGTGGCTGCCACTGGTGCTCAAGCAGGTCAGCTTTCTGATCAAACTGCTCAATAGCCATTGATCAGCTGCAGTCCCCTGGCACAGCACAGGAGGTCTGGTTCAAGGCAGCACGGCATCATTATTGTGAGTAATTAGGGCTAATGCAGTGAAAGCTTCAATAAAGTTTGTTCGAAATGATGCATAATTTGAAATAACTTCTATTGCCCTGTTCCAATAGTGATTGAATAACCACACCAGATAATGTGCTCCTGAATAAGTTAGCCTGATTTTTCTGATCCTCTACACATTGAACTGATTTCTCAAGGAGGTTACAGGATGTGCAGAGAGTACAGGATTTCACTCCTGAAACATGCCCCCACACCTTGTATTTAGGATGAGACTATATTATTAAGTAAATTACAAATTTTGTAGGCACTTCATAAAACACCAGGAAAATAAATTTCTTTGGTTTCTACACGGAGTCTAGAGTAGTAGTGATGGAAAAACAAGCAAATAGGCAGGCATTCCTTTTTTGTTCTCTCTCTCTCTCTCTCTCTCACACACACACACACACACACACACACACACACACACACTGATCATCTCTCATCTTAAATTCAAGCAGGGAAAAAGACATGTATCAAAGTTGCTGTCACCAAATCTCACCTGTTCAAGGTATAGTCTTGTTAGAGATGACATAGGGGCAACAGAGGGAGCATAGCTCTTAGTTTATAGTTTGTATCTGTTTTGTATCAAGGCTAATACACTATTCTTTCAAACTTCATGATAGGTCTTGTTTAGAACTATCAGAGTAAGTGAAAATATTTAAATTTCACAAGTCTATCAAATGTTTAGACATTTGTTTCTAAAAGCAAAAGGGTGGAATAATATCCAGTTGCAAATGCAAGAAGCAGTGAACAGGAATTTCAGAATTGTAAAGTAATTTATTTGTTTTTTGTCATATGGGGAATCATGATCTGAAGCTCCTGATAAAAATAACAGGTCAATTCAGCCAATAGTCTTGTCCTTCAAAAGGAACTAAAATAGAGTAAATATATGTGCAAGTTAATAGGATTTGGAACATCTAAGAGCCATAAGTATACAAACCAAAGAAGTCATCAAATTGTAAAATAAATTTCTCTAAGTCCAGATTAA